CATACGCGCCTCTAATTGGCGGGCGTGCGAGTTCGCGATCTCCACGAATCGCGTGAGGTGCGTAGCGCCGCGGGTCCTGTGCCCCCGCGCGCGGTATTCAAATTATCGGCGACGTCCTTTCTGTCGGCGGTACCTCCAGGTGCGCTCCCGTGTTGGCACGCTCAGGTGGCTGGTCCTACGGGATTCATTCTCGTGAGGGGTCGTTCCTGGCGGCAGATCTCGTCTTTGGGGCGCCCTGTCGCGCTTCCGACTGCGGGGCGTAGAGTGGCCATTCCCTTCATCCTCGCCTTAGCTGGTTCGCACCGGAATCTGGAAGGAAGCTCGGCGGCTTAATTGTTCTCAATTTAAGGAGAGGAACGCGGACTAAAGATACGACCTGTGCATGCTGTTTCCTCGGTGGTGTCTTCTCCGCCCTCGTGGTCCTTGGGATCCTCTTCTCTTAGTATCGTTATGGCGTCGGTGAGACGGGTAATATCCTACAATGTTTCCGGGAGCTGCCGATACGGTATAACAAATATTCGAGATCGCTACGGAAACTAAAAATAATCATAAACGGTATTCGGTATTCGGGCGGCGGGAGCCTCGCAAATGTGATCCCGCGGCCCGCGCCACGCGTCCGCCTCCGAAAATCGGGAGGACACAAGACTACCGCCCGCGGTCGGGTCCGTAAATCCCTTGTGACGGACGGTCCAAAAAGGGACGTCACGTCACAATTTCTAATCATTATATTTTGTGTTTATAATATATTGGTCTATGTATCATCATAAATATACTTGTACTTTTTTTCTAAAATCTACATAGTATGAGCGAGACAACGCGCAATGGGCGAGAGCGTGTGCGAGCGTGCGTGGGAGCGAGAACGCGCGAGGGAGCGAGAACGCACGGGAGAGAGAACGCACGGGAGAGAGAGCGCGCTATAGGCGAAGGCATGCTATGCGTGAGAGGGAGAGCGCGAGAGAGACCGCGTGCGCGGGAGCGAGAGCGCGCTATGGGCGAGGGCGCGTGCGTGGGAGTGAGAACGGATATGTATGGCGGCAGCGTTGCGTGCGCGGGAAAGAGAACGCGCTATGTTTGAGTGCGGGAGAACGGGGGCGCGCAATCCCCCCCGCGAAAAATCCCCCCATATCATAAATTATCTCGGTAATGCGTGATGTTACCCCCCCCCCCCGCTCATATTCTCAAAGAGCCCGCCGCTAATTGTTTATGTAAACATATATGGCCTATGTTTAAACATACATGGTCCATGTTTATATAAACATCTCGGCGGTTACCTCCTGTGACATCATTCCCCCCGCGCAAATTCCCCTCGACCCTCACCACCCCTCGGAACTCCTGGGTTAGAACCGGCCTATTCCTCCTACTCTCGTCCTGCGTCCTTCCAAAATCGCAACCACAGCACAAGTACCGGGCGCCGCTGCTTCCGTGATCTCGCCGGGCCGGTGGGCCCACGTGGTACATCCTTCCACGCCCCTAATTGGCGGGCGTGCGAGCTCGCGATCTCCGCGAATCGCGTGAGGTGCGTAACGCCGCGGGTCTTGTGTTCCCGCGCGCGGCATTTAAATTATCGGCGACGTCCTTTTGTCGGCGGTACTTCCAGGTACGCTCCCGTTTTGGCACGCTCAGGTGGCTATCCTCCGGGACAAATTCTCGTGAGGGGCCGTTCCTGGCGGCAGATCTCATCCTTGGGGCGCCCTGTCGCGTTTCCGACTGCGGGGTCGCTCGTCCGATCTGGGGGCGTAGAGTGGCCATCCCCTTTATCCTCGCCTTAGCTGGTTCGCACCGGAATCTGGAAGGAAGCTCGGCAGCTTAATCGTTCTCAAATTACGGAAAGGAACGCGGACTAATATACGACCTGTACATGTGGTCTCCTTGGTGGTGCCTTCTCCGCCCTCGTGGTCCTCTTCTCGTGGCTGCTGCGACGTCAGTGAGACGGGTGAAATTTTACAAATTCTCCGATAGCCGCCGATTCGGTATAATTAACAATCGAGATTGCTACGGAAACTAAGAAAGTGATTAAGAACGGTATTCGGTATTCGGGCGGCGGGAGCCACGCAAATGTGGTCCCGCGGCCCGCGCCACGCGTCCGCCTCCGAAAATCGGGAGGACGCAGGACTCAAAACTACCGCCCGCGATCGAGTCCGTAGATCCCTTGTGACAGACGGTCCAAAAAGGGACGTCACGTCACAATATATAGGGGAGTATAGCGTAATTTGGTCACCTTTTTTTTAAACGACTCTAAAACTCGTATTTTTTCGAATTTCATGAAACCAAATAAACCGTTGGAAAGATAAAAACCTAGCGCAACTTCTTCTCGAATATACCTACCTTCTATCTCATTGCAAAAAAAAATATGATCATTTTCCCGAAACACAAAAAATCGAGATTTTTTTTCATAGCGTAATTTGGTCAACCGTATAAATCCTAAGAAATCTTAAAAAATAAATCATAACATAAAGCTAAAACAGCATGTTTTCAATTTTTAGTTATT